GCTGGGTGGGGGGGGGCACACAGAATGCGCACCCGCCTCGGTCTTCACGTTCCCGGAAGGAAGTGTACCTGCGTCCATGCACACGGCGGCCCCCGCTGCGGGCTGACCTCGGTCGGCACCTTCCTCACAGACTCTCTCAGACCTCAGCTTAGAAGGAAGGCTATCTGGAGGTAAAGCCTGACCGCCCCCAAACAGCAGGGCATGGGAGCGAGCGTGCTGTGTAGACCCCACTGGGGAGCCACGTGAGCTGTGGGGATGCACGAGGCAGGTCTTCGTGGGCCAGAGAACCCCGTTAGCTGCCCCTTTGCTCATTTCCTCACCCTCACACGTTGCCTGCGTGTGCAGTGCTGCCCTGGGGGGCTCCACAGTGACCCCTGGCCAGCAACGAGGACATCAAGGTTCAAAGAATCACTTTGTCTCTAAAGAAGCATCATGGCGGGATGAAGAAGCCACCATTGGATGGCGGGCAGAACTCGTGGCCCGAGCTCTAGGACTCCACTTCTCAAGTATTTACTCGCCGAGGTCACGGAGTGTCGTGGGTAGGGTGGGCCCTTTTCACCGTTCCTCTGATAGTCTGTTGGCCCCTCCTCTCAGCTAGGGGACCCCACTGCTCACGTCTGCTGGGCACCCCAAGATCGTGTGCTTGCAGATCTGTGCAGAAAAGCCCACAAGGCGAGCTGGAGGCAGGAAGTCTGGGGCCTCCGCCACGTCCGTGCCCAGGACAGTTCAGGGCACTGTGAAGCCACTGCAGGCCACGGTGCAGAGGCTCGGCGGGGCCTGGACAGCTCTCCAGCCGGTTCGGGCTGTACTTTCACAGAAGAGGCAGCTGGGGAACCAGTGAGCTTGGGCGTGTGACGACACGGAAATGCAAAGGCAACGTCTTTGGTGACCTGTATTGCAAAACTAGCAAAAGGAAGTTGTGTTCGCTGCTGCCTGAGGTCCGCCCCGGACAGAAGCACACACTCCCACGGAGAGCAGGTGAGTGGTTCCAGCTCCGGGGTCTTCGCTGGCCCCCGCAGCCTGTGCTGGTGCTGCACAGGGCACTCCTGGGGACGAGGGTGTTCAGAGCAGGGGCCGTTTGGCGTCGGTGGCTCCAAGGCAGGAACCGTGTGGTGGTGCGTGAGCAGCGTGTTGTGCGCACTCCTCTGCCTCCTGGGGGCCTGTTTGTGAAGAACCAGGGTGCTATGGGCCGCATCCAGCGGCAAGCACACCGTTTGCCAGGACAGCACTCGGCATCGTCTGGGGCTGCTCAGACTGGCTGAGGTGAACGGAGCCCGGGAGGGGCCGGGGTCTGAGGCCAACCTGGCTCAGGGTGACCGCCCCCCTCCGTGGGTCCGACCTGCACATTTGTCATTGAGGCCCTGACCAGTGCTGGTCTTCCCTTGCCTGGGCTTAGGAGGGGTGGGTGGTCCCAGACACAGTCCCCGGGCGGGTAGGCCTTCCCACAAAATGTGGCTCTGGAAGGTTCTGCAACCTGCAATTTAGATGCTGACAGGGCTTGGCTGTGGCGGCCCTACTGGGGAGGAGGACCCCCTGGGAACCCCACACGGCTGACTCCTGGGTGGGGGCACACCACAGGTGGCTGTGGGTGGAGCCAGACGCCAGTGTGTTTGTGCAGAGCAGGAGTATGTCCAGGGGCACAGTTGCGCCCTGAGCACCCAACTCCCGGGGCCCTCTGGGCTTGCAGTCGACTGGCTGACTACTCAGCCACTTGGGCAGGAGAGGAAACAGGGAGCTTTGGGCCTCGGCCTCGGGCCCAACTCAAACCTTCGGAGCCTGACAGCTTAGCCGGGTGGGGCCGGGTGCGCAGGGAGGAAGTGGTTTGTCTCCAGCTGGGTGTTTGCAGGATGTTGAGGGCCCTGGTTCCCCTCCTCGGGGCTGATGTCCGTCTCCCCACAAAGCCCAGCACCTCCTACAGTTCAGGGGCCTCCGAAACTGGACGGGCCCATATGCCCTGACACGCAGAGGCCTGAACCTCAGTTGGTCTGCTGAGGCCGGAGCTCAGACGGGTTAAACGAGGCTCTGAGGACACACGGAGCATTGCTGCCCTGAGCCCCTCAAGATCCCAGGATTGGGGCTGTCCTTGGACTCAGAACGGTGACAGTGGTGCACCTGCTGGCCCAGTGCTGGGAGCACCTGCCCCAGGTGGATTCTGAGGATTTCCACTGACACATGACGAAAGTGAGGCACCTCAGTAAAGGAGGTGAATATGGAAGTCAAACCGTAGGACAGATGTGAAGCCCAGCCTTGAATGGGGCGTCACCCACCTGCACAGCCCCCTAGCTGCCCACAGCTGGGAGACCCATTCTGTCTGCAGCCCTAAGATTCTACCTCCTCCATCTCCAGGCGCATGACCTGGTTCTCTGGATGGCCAGGTTGATGCTCGTTTGCCCTGTTTCTTCCATCAGGGACGCTGTTCCCTCTGGCTGGGATGCTGTTCCCTCTGGCTGGGACGCTGTTCCCTCTCTCTGGAACACTGCTCCCTCTCTCTGGGACGCTGCTCCCTCTCTCTGGAACACTGCTCCCTCTCTCTGGGATGCTGCTCCCTCTGGCTGGGACACTGGTCCCTCTCTCTGGGACGCTTCTCCCTCTCTCTGGAATGCTGCTCCCTCTCACTGGGACACTGTTCCCTCTGGCTGGGGTGCTGTTCCTTCTGTCTGGGACTCTGTTCCCTCTCTCTGGGACACTGGTCCCTCTCTCTGAGATGCTGTTCCATCTCTGGGATGTTCCCTCTGGCTGGGGTGCTGTTCCCTCTCTCTGGGACACTGTACCCTCTCTCTGAGACACTCTTCTCTCTCTGAGACGCTGTTCCCTCTGTCTGGGATGCTATTCCTTCTGTCTGGGATGCTATACCCTCTGTCTGGGATGCTATTTCCTCTCTGGATGCTGTTCCCTCTGGCTGGGACACTGTTCCCTCTCTCTGGGTTGCTGTTCGCTCTCTGAGACGCCATTCCCTCTGGCTGGGGTGCTGTTCCCTCTCTGAGACGCCATTCCCTCTGGCTGGGGTGCTGTTCCCTCTCTGAGATGCTGTTCCCTCTGGCTGGGGTGTTGTTCCCTCTCT